ACCGCGGAAGGCCTGGGGCAGCTGGGCCTTGGGGGGGAACAGGGCTGCAGGGCCCAAGCCAGCAGAGCCCGGGGGCCCGAGCCCCTCCTCATCCTCATAGTCTTCCTCCTCTTCCTCCTCGTCCTCATCCCCCAAGTCTTCCTCCAGCTCTTCCTCCTCCTCTTCCTCCTCTTCCCATTTTGGCTTCCTGGGGCAGGCAGAGTGCAGAGGTCAGGAGAGAAGGCACCAGCTCACCCCTGTCCCAGGGCAAAGCCGGCTCCTCATCCTAGACTGGGTTTCCTCTCTCAACACGGGGAGGTTGGGCCTCACCTGCCCCAGCTGCTGAGAGGGCCTGGAAGCAGAGCATGGGCCATACACCTCTTGGTCCCAGTTAGCTCTGACCAAACTGTAGCTATTCCTTTGACATAAACCCCAGTCCCTGCCTAGTGCTAACTGGCTCCCCCTCGCCTCTCCCTGCTCCACCAGCTGCCGTGCTAAGCCTTGAAATGTTAAGCTGGTTCCTTCCTTAGGGCCTTTGCTCAGGCTGTTCCCTCTACTCGGCATGCTGTTCCAGGCTTCCTGGCCTTTCCTAGGGACTGTCACTACTTTGCCCATCATTCTAGAAAATTAATGCTGGCCCCAGCCACCCCCCGCCCTAGCACCTCTGCTTCATTTTCTTGACAGCCCCAATCACAACCTGCACTTGCCCCACTTCTTTGCTTTTTAAAGTCTTCCCGCCCTAGCTGGTTTGGCTCAGTGGATAGAGCATCAGTCCCGGGCTCGATTCCGGTCAAGGGCACATACTTTGGTTGCAGGCTCCTCCCTGGCTCGGGGCTTGTGCAGGAGGCAACCAATTGATATCTCTCGCAACTATGTTTCTGTCTTTCCCTCTCTCTTCCACTCTCCCTAAAAATCAATGGAAAAATATCCCTGGGTGAGGGTTAACCAATAAAAGTTTTCCCAGTGCCTTGGCTGATGTGGCTCAGTTGATTCGAGCATCGTCCCAAACACCAAAAGGCAGTGGGTTTGATTCCCAGTCAGAGTACATACCCAAGTTTTGGATTCGATCCCTAGTTGGGGTGCATATAAGAGGCAACCGATTGATCGATGTTTCTCTCTCTCTCTCTCTCCGCCTTCCTCTTTCTCTCAAATCAATTTAAAAAATTTTTTTAAGTCTTCCCAGAAAGATCCCACTGGGGTCCCACCAGCACCCAGTTCAGGGTCCACATTGGACTCCCGTGAAACACAGACCCCAGTGAGCCAACTAATGCCCACCCTGTGCAAGTCCTACCCAGTCCACCAACTTTATCTGCCCCTGATGTTGGATCTGCTGTAGCCTCGCTGGGTGATGGGGCCACTGGGCGTGTGTGGCTAGTTCTGTTTAAATTAAGATGAAATAAAGCTACAAACACTAATCCTCAACCACATCTCTGAACTGGCCACATTTCACATTCAGTAGCCACTTATGACTAGACAGCGCATGTGGAGAACATGTCTACTGCCATCCAGAACATTCTAAAGCAGTGATGGCGAACCTATGACACGCCTGTCAGAGGTGACACGCGAACTCATTTTTTTGGTTGATTTTTCTTTGTTAAATGGCATTTAAATATATAAAATAAATATCAAAAATATACATCTTTGTTTTACTATGGTTGCAAATATCAAAAAATTTCTATAGGTGACACGGCACCAGAGTTAAGTTAGGGTTTTTCAAAATGCTGACACGCCGAGCTCAAAAGGTTCGCCATCACTGGTCTAAAGGGTGGCACTTCCGTAAGGAGCCTTGTCCTGCCCTTACAACTCTGTCACCAAGACCTAGACACCATTCAGTGCACAAAGCCCTCAGACCCTCACTCACAGGTCATCATCAGAGCCCATATCCTCGAAGTGCCCATCGCCTTCGGCATGACCTGGCGCCTCCCTGCCTCGGCCAGGTGAGCCTGGTTGCCCCTCCTGGGCAGTGTCCTCGTCCTCCGAGCTGGGGGGCCTGTCCTCAGAGCCACCGGGGCTTGGTGCAGATCCGAGGCCAGCGGCAGCAGCCCGCATGGCGGCCAGGGCAGCCATCTGTGCCTGCTGCATTCGGGTGTTCTCGGGGTCTCTGTCCTCGTCCGAGGCAGCCTTGGAGAGGGCTGGGGGGCCACCAGGGGGCTCAGGCAGCAGTGGCT